AGCAGAGAATCAAGTTTTGATTGTTTGGGTTACACAATCTTTATTTACTGTTTACTCAAAAAAAATTTTATAGTGCCGTAGGGTCATTTTCAAGGCAAAGACCCCATATCACCAACTGGTTTAAACTGGTTATCATTATGATCAGGTGGAATTGGAACAGTTCTTATAGCTATATGACCATACTGTTGATGATAAAAAATTCCACCTTGGTTATTTTTTTCCTTATGAAAGCATAACTGCAATCCACTATCCTTGCATTGTTCAATGTCATGATATTGTAAATTATATGTATCTTCACCTCGAAGTCCACAAAGTAAAGAAAGCCAAAAAAAAAACTTGCTGAATTAAACTTTCATTGTTATCAGTAGACAAATAATCATGTTTTAAACAGGAAGTAATTTCGTCAGAAATTAATGGGCTACTTTGATTTGTATCACCAAACCCTGCATATTGCAATGATTTCATTTTTCCATTTAAACATCATAATGTTTTTGGAAAATTATATAGATCCCAAATACATATTCCACCTGGAATTGCTGTACTTCCTTTCAAATAACAAGCCAAAGCTGCATAACAATTATGTAAGAACTCAACCTTAAAGGGAGTTCTATCTTTTCTTAGCCAAGCAATAAATAAGCTGAGGTAAGTGTCAAGCTCTTCTTTGTTATTAATTTCTTCTAATTTTTTTGTAACATTATGTTCTTTTCTGTATTGTTCTACATGCTGAAGCCACTTTTCAGTGTTCTTATCAGTGTTAGTGACCTGGGATAAATCTGTGAAATGTTGAACTTCTTCTTGTAAATCATCGCTCTTTTTTTTTTTATAAAAATGTGTATAAAAAATGAAAAGCAATAAAAAAATAAACAGAAGAGAAAAAGTGTTGAATGAAAAAAGGCAATAAGAAAAATGAACGGAAGAGAAAAAGAATTAAAAAAAAATATAACGAAAAAAATCTTACTTTTACATAATAATTCTAATGATTAAAGAAGTGATTTATTAATTAAAGATTGTTGCACGGGATTGTTACGTCAGACCCAAGCAATAATATAGTTATTCACTACATACCCGCGTAATAACTATAACTTATTACTCCTTATATATATATATATATTTATTTATTATTGCCGCGCCCGGAAACAGAGTTGTTTATTTTTTTCTTTTATGGATGTGCTCATCCCTAACACATTTATGCTAGAGCTTCTCTGATTTGCTTTGCATAGCACTTGAGTAAAACCTTATCCAAAATTAGATACAAGTCTCTACAAGCTTTAATATGGCCGGATCTCTCAAGAGTATAATGTTGATGCCAGCTAAACTGGTAAACTAGCCTCTTGCTATAATATTAATAAATATATTACGATATACCGCTCATCTAGTTTAAGCAATGTGGCAGGACGAACCTAAATCTCTATTTATTGAAGCTACTTCTCAGTATTATTCTTGAATTCTGTTTCTGTAATAACAGAACAAAAAGGTTAAATACTGTATATGCCTGGTTCAACCAAGTTGACAATAGACAGACAAATCTCTAATATCAATAAAATGTATATACAAAGCAAAAAAAAAGAACACCTATTTAGGGGTGTGCCGTTTATTACGTAATTTTTTAGGGGAGAGTGGAGAGTTAGCAATTTATCACGCCAATATATCGAATATAACTACTATGATTAGCTGTGATTTTATCATGTAGGAGGTAGGGGGTTTGGCCTCCTAATAAAAAGAAATTATGTAATAAACGGCATATCCCTTGACGATAATCTCAACTTTTTAGCCAATTAAATATTTCTGGCCCGCGGTAGCCTCGGGCCGGGACCAGTTTGGCTTGACCCGTGATCGACATAGCCTGACCCGGGTAGCCCGTGGCATACATGGCCTGTTTGAACCTATACTGGAGGACGATTTACCGTACGTACGACACTGACTACAGTACCCCTACTTAGGGATGTTAAAAGTTCAGATCGGTTCGACTCGACTCCAAAAGTCGAATCTTTATTAAAGTTCGGTTCCGAGTCTGACTTGGAACTCGACTCTGCAACTTGTGTATATTTAAATATAGCCGAAAAAAAAATGTTTATTCATGCATACTTTGTATGCATATACATTCTTTTTAGCGCTATTTTTAAATATACAAGTTGCACGTGAAAATGCGAGTCCTGCCTTGGAACCGAACTTTAATCAAGACTCGACTTTTGGCGTCGAGTCGAACCGATCTGAACTTTTATCATCTTTACCCCTATTATAATATCCTCATGAAATGACCCTGGTATGATTCATGGGTTTATGATTCAGAAAATTGAAAAACACCCGAGTATTATTTTAGATATATATATTTAGATTCGAGACCCTTATAAAATAATAGTAAAAAACTATGTAAAATACCCTTATTATAATACCTTCTCCCGTAATTAGTACCCAGGAGGGCACTATTGGATAGTACCCAATGTACTATAATAACTGCTGTACGGTAGGAAAATTTTCATGTGGTCTTATACACACCTATTTTGGGATTTTCGATCAAGTGACAGCCATAATTCTTTTGAGTTCGTTATTGTTACGTAGTGAATTTGTAAGGGTCAGATGTACAATAAATTTGCTTAAAGAAATTTTTGATTTCCTAGGCAGAAGTTCTTTATTGTGTGACGTTACGCCAAGGTGTGATTCGAAATTTTATTAGTATTTTGATGACGATCCTGGGGTAGTTTGATTATCAATTTAAGTTTAGCTCCGGACATTTTACATTAACTGTTTTCTTAATACGTAAATTATTTGCAAATCTTCCTTTAGATTATGGCATCAGAAAAAAAAATTAGTAGAACGATTTTGACTCGTAAAATGTTTCAACAATTTCTTGAGAGTGATACAACTTTTGAGAATTTTATTGCGAAAGATGTTTAGTATTTTTTTTTTTAAAATTAATATGATTTATATGAAATTAGTGAATGAATTTATATTTAATGAATACATGCATACTTTTTTTTAATAAAAAATAATACATTTATAGATGAAAATAACAGATATAGATGATGGTAAAATTAGTTTCGAAATAACTATTCAAGAATATCATCTGGTATATGAAACTTTTAATTTTAAATCCTTAAAGTTTGACTAAATGGAATCAATTCGATTAAAAATACTTAATATAAATATGATAGAATTTCTACAAGTCAATTCATGGAGGAGTGATAGCATCACTGGTCGATCTTTGTGGATCGCTAGCTGTATCAACCATAATAAGGCGTCTTTCGCGAGTTAGTACGGATATAAATGTTTCATATATCGCATCAGTAGGATATGGTGATACTTTACTTGTGGTAAAAAAAATTTCTTCTTGAAAAACTTTTTCTCATAATTAAATAATAATTTTTTGGCGTTATCATTTTTGAATATCATTTTTAGAATGCAGAATGTGTAGAACTTGGTAAAACACTTATATTTACCACTGTAGAGGTGCACAATAAAGCTGATGGAAAGTTAATAGCTCTAGGTAGACACTCTATGTTAGTTACTGGTATTCATAATGACCCTGAAAATGAATTTAAGACTGAAAACGCAAAGTTGTAAGAAAAACATTTCAATGGAGTAATCAAATTCTAAAAAAGCTTTGGTAGGTGCTTTAAAGTTAGATGTTTAACCTAATATTATAGAAAGTATCTTTAAAATCACACTAAGTAATTTTTCAATTTGATTATTTGCCAATAAATTTACAATATTTCAAATTTTTTTTTGAATTCTGTTCGAGCACTTTGTATGTAAGCACATCGAAAAAAAAAAAAGACTACTGATATTTATATTTTGTTAAATTGAATTTTTAATATAATGTACAAAGCACTGTTTAATGTAAATTTTTTTATTATAATAATAAATAAAATTAAAATTTGGCATTTATTATGCATGCCGAATAAATAATGTATGATTTGCCCATTCATAGTGTTAGTAGTTGATTAACGACCTCAACAAAAGAATCCAGTTGGTCTACTGATCAGAGTCAACATTATAAAAAATCGGATTAACCGACAAAGTACGTATAAATATTGATCAAATATGATTTTTTAAATCAATCAATATATCAAAGAAATTCAAAATGCAACAATTTATAAAAATCTGTTTATACTTAAAGCTGTTTTGAAATTAAACCTACTTAAGTGAATACAGGACTTATAATAGTTTAAATAGATACTCTGGTTCTCAATTTGCCAATCTTGCACTAATAATTAAATAGATCAAATAAATCAAATTATACGATTTGTTTTTTTCAAATAGAGCTTTTTGTTATAAAATATTTAAGCTTAATATACTTGTAACTTACATGTCAATGAATTTAATATATAATTCTCATAACTAAAGCTTATCCGAAAATTTTCAAAATCAAAGTGTAACAATTAGTAACATAAAAAATATATCTATATTTAATTTGATGTTTAAAGCAATTTGTTAAAATTAACATCTTTATACAAATAGAATTATATTTAATTACATTTTTGTAACTATTGTAAGATTACTGCTATACATTTCACAGTATACGATTATCGTAATAACAATTTAATATATATATATTGGTCATCTCATTAAGCATGATACACCAACTTGATACATTTGAATTAAAATTTAATTAC